AGTTTTACGGCAGTTATCGCAAACCAGACAGACGGACAGACATACATACGGACGTGACGGATACATAAGCCCTGACTCGGACTAAAAATTAAATTGGAAAAATTTGTCTCGAGGGACCCTATGGGGTGACCCCCACCGATTTTTGAAAATCGTTATATCGAGCTGAAATTTGATATAGGGACTTCTAATTGCCCCTAAAGGAAGAATATGAAGTGAAATTGGTAAAATTTTCATATTCCGGGACCCGTTGGGGTGACGCATACCGATTTTCAGAACTTGTAGCAAAAAGCTTAAATTCGGAACGGTGATACTTCATGGCTTCTCATGAAATTATATGGAGTCAAATATGTACAAAAAGTAACCAGAAGGGTACCCATACCGATTTTTAAGAATTTATATATTCAGCTAAAATTTACTGAGGAGTCAAAAAATAACTTAGGATTCGAATTTTGGAGGGTTAAACTTCGAAATTTTATAGGAACAGCCTCAACTGTTCGTGGTGTGAAAGAGCAGGTTTGGTCAACTTCATTAATGCCAAACCCCTTAATTAGTATGCCGCTCACCTCCATCATCTCTTACAAACCAGAGACAATGTTGGAAAACAGCTTCGTCACAACCTCATCTGAGATATCTCTATTCAGCGTAGCCAACCGGTTCATAATCGGTCAACACATAGGTATCAATTAGGTATTGCTAGGATATATAAGCGAAAGCGCAGCCACCATAAAAGGAGGACGGTCGAGGAAGTATTTTGTGCTACTGCAGGTTACCTCTCCCAATATTATTGGGAGAGGCAGAGTTCTGCCTGTTTGTACAAGTAATAAATAAAACCTCTCTAAGAAAAGTGCAACCAAGTCTCATCTCGCCTCCCAATTATTACGCACACACCACAACGACGACGACGATCGTCTCATCTTCCTCATCACCACCATCACTGCAGTCAACCCCCCATAAACGGAACTTCACAGTGGTATTTGGTGCAATGTAATACTACCAGCTAACGTTAGCTAATGCAAAAATTAGTGAAAAATAGTAGAACATTCTGACCAACATGGGTTTACTAATCAATCCTGGTTCGGGCTGAGCAAAGCTGTACTGATAGGGTTTTCTGAGCGTACCGCTTAAAGTTGCTAATTAATAAGTCCCATGACTATTTTAACCGTAATTTGTAGCACAATTGGTGTCAAACAATCGTTAACGCAAAATGGCGTGAAATAATTGCGGGAATTGATGTATTCTACACCAAAGATTAGGATTAACTGAAAATTCTAGTCATCCTTGGATAACTTTCCTGAACCTCGAAATCATGTCAAAATTTTGTCTGAAGTTTACCCATTTCGGCTGCACCATTGGTGCAACATCATATCTAATTTCTGTTATTCGTATGATACGTATGGGTGTGAGTTTATAAATTTGTGTCCGCTCCCCCATGATTCACGACCTATCAAACTTACTGACCTGCAAGTTAGTGAACCGATTCGTAAATTAAATAGTAAGGGAGCGTCCATAAATCACGTGATCGATTAGAGGGGGGAAGGGGGTCCGAAATTTGTCACCAATTATCACGGGGGTGGGGGGTAGATGGTCAGATGTCACGTGACACGAGTAAAAAATGTCATGAGAGTTATATATAAACTCTCTTGGCATATCACACGCACGGTATATAAATTTGATTTACAAAATGAATCATTTTGCATATTTAGAAACTTGCTTCGACTTCAAATTTTTGTGTCTGACTGGCGTAGTAAATAGTTATTTGTGTGTAGCTCTAATTTGATTAATGATTTAAAAAAACACTGGAATAATATTGTTATTCCGGACAACATGATTTAATTTGAGCATCATCCCCTGTCACGTGACCGGTGGGGGGAGGGGGTAACGAAATTATCACCACCTGTCACCAAGGGGGGGGAGGGGGTCAAAATTGTCCGAAAATCGATCACGTGATTTATGGACGCTCCCTAAAAAGAGTAACAGTCCCAATCTGATTCCCACCGCATTAATTAAAAGTGCGAACTACTTTATTAGCCCACTATTAGCTAACATAGTAAATCAATCATTTCAAAATTTCCAATTTCCTGAAACTTGGAAAATAGGGTATGTCACACCCTTATTAAAGAAAGTTACATGCAATTCTTTGAACGATATTAGGGCTATTACACAAACGGATGTTTTTTCCAAATTAGCTGAATCATTTATGTTTGATAATTTGTATAGACAGGTAGAGGGTAAAATCAATTTGAATCAGTTTGGTAGTCTTGAAAAGTCATCTAAATCTCATTACTTAGTAAAAATTAATCACTTTATATTAAAATCTGCTGAAGTTCCAGGAGCGACGGTAGTAGTACCAGGTATTGATAGCTTTAAAGCGTTTGATTTAGTCGATCATAAAATATTAGTTGATCTGTTAACTAATTATTTCGGTGTAAACGAAATTGATGTTCTGTGGATAGTTTCTTTTTTGAGAATGAGAAGCCAGATTGTTAAAAATGGAAAGGTTTTATCCGATGAGTTCCTCTCTTGTGAAACAGCAGCAGGCACAAAATTAGCTGCCTTATTAGCTCACCCTGCGTAGCACGGGAGCTATTGAATTCCTCTTGTCCGTCCGTCCGTCCGTCCGTCTGTTAACGACCTTTTTGCATCAATTGATGCTAATTAAAATGTACCAGGTCCATTTTATTATAAATTAATAGCACCATTGGTGTCTAACAATTGGTAACACAAAATGATGCGAAATAATTGGGGGAAGCGATGTAAAACGCACCAATAGTGCAGAATATCCGGAAAAGATAATCCTACAATTTTGACATAAAGTTTTCAAAGTTAAATATGGCACTTGGTCTCTCATGCTGCGCAGGTGGTGTATACTAATTCGGGCTTGTCATAATTTTTCCGTTTATTTTGCACTCTTGGTGCAAGAATATATGATAATTATGATCTCTTTTGTCGGCTTATTCCGCACCTTTGGTGCAAAGTTATGTCCAAATCATTATGAACCTTATTTTGCGCCTTATTCTACACTATTGATGCATAAAATCTCAAAATTCTACACCTACATATTTCGATTATAATGCACCATTGGAACCAAATTATAGAGTTTTATACTTCTTTTGTGCACTTATTAGGCACCATTGGTGCAAAATTATATACATCCTTATTTATATTGCAGGGTGAGCTACTTCTAACGTTACTACGGTTTATTATTTATTTTGTTGATTGATTTTGTATTACAGAAATTACAGGCATTTTTTGTCAACAATCCAAATTTTTACTGTGCTGGATTTGTCGATGATATTGCCTATGCCCAAAAATGCAGGAAGCATTGGATTGTTTAGTTAGTAGCTGTACGGAAATAAAGATTAGCCCCAATCCTCAAAAAAGTGAAATATTGTTGGTCAACTTTGGAGGACGGAGGATTAAATACGAATCCAAATTTGTCATTCATAATGTAATGGTCCCTTTTGTCCAAAAAATTAAAATATTAGGAGTAACAATTACTGGTAGTTTCAAATGGGACGCCCATATTAAAAATATTGTTGGAAAAGCCAACTCAAAATTGTTTCAATTACGTAAACTTTTTACAGCAGGCTTTGCCACTAGCGAGCTGGGAAGAGCTTACTGTGTTTATTTGCGTTCCAATCTGGAATATTGTTCAGTGGTTTGGGGTCCCGGATTAAGTATTAAATTAATTAATAAGTTGGAAAGGGTGCAAAAAAGGGCACTGTCAATTACCGTAAAAGAGTCGATAGGTTCAATTATGAGGAAGTTTTAGGGTTGCATAAAATTCAATCATTGGAAAGTAGGAGGAATATTGCACTTGAAAAATTCGGTTTCATATTACTCATTGGAAGGTATAATCATTTGTTACCATCATTCGGTGACAACCAAAATTTGAGGTCACTGAAGTCACAAAAAGATATTATTGTTCAACCATATGTCAAAAATTTCACTGTACCAAAACTCAACCATTAATGTAATTATTAATAAAATTAATGAGGAGTATAAAAAATCTCAAACAATTTATGGCTATAAATTAGAAACAATTGTAAACCTTAGATCCCAAGCTTGTTGAGTAAATTAGTTAGGTTATGTTAGACTGGATAAGATTAATTAATTATTTAGTTTTAGCCCGAACCAGGGCTTATGTAATTGTCATGTCCGTCTGTCTTTCGATAACTCTCGAACAAGTTGACCGATTGACTTGAAATTTTTACAATATGCATATTAGACAAAGTTAGGAAACGAATTCGATGATGGGCCAAATCGGTCAAGTGGTTGACCGGTTGGGGTCATCGGAGTGGGTGGGGTCTTCTCAAGTAGAAGAATCACATTGTGACAATGTGAAATATCACATGTTGGATCACAGTGAATGACGGCCGCTTTTTGCAAGTTAATATGATGCTACAAACATAACGTTGTTCAAATGTGATTTTGGCATGCATTTCACGTTTGTGTCACGTTTATATTGCTAAATATAACACTTCTTGCACATGCCAATAATGTGAAATACATGTTGCTGGATTTCATTTAATTTATACACAAATATATTAATTTGATCAGTTAAGTGTGAAACAAATTACAGTAGCATATACATACACTAATTATTCATTATTAAGGGGTGAAAGCCCTTTATAAGATTGTTATGTCCGTCCGTCCGTCCGTCCGTCTGTCTGTCCGTAGCTCCGATGACTTTTGAACGAAAAGACATAGACCCTTGAAATTTTGAACGTAAACTCCTAACGTCAATGGACAGGACGAGTTCGAAGATGGACACTGTGACATCGTCACCTGTGACGATGACTTCGTCACGGTGACGAAAAGTGACGAAAAAGTGTCACTTGTCAGTTTTGACATGTGACACATCATTTTTAACTAATTTTCAACGAGGAATTCGAAAATTCAGGTTGGACATCTGTGCTCAAGTTCTCCCAAGGAAATTTGATGAGACCTCAACCATTCAAGTTCAATTAATGCGGAGGATGAAATACAAATCTCCCTATATGTACGAGACCATTCGACCCCACAAGGTATTTGAGGCAGCCCAGTATTTAGTCGCGACGGAGCTGTATAAAGCCGAAAATGTAATTTTGTGCGATGAGTGGTATCAAGCAATGAATGGTAAGTTTGAAATACAACAACTTACATAAATACTATGTACAAAATACTTGATTACCGATTCTTGATTTAAAAATAATTTATTAATTTAATATAATCTTAAACTAAGGAAAGCAATTTTTAAAATTCTTCTTGCAGATGATACAATGGACTTTGTGTGCGGTGACGTTGAGGACCCCATTGAACCCGTTCATATCGACGCGGATGAAGAAAATATTGGTTAGTTTAGAATATGCAATGTAAATATTACTTTTGGGATTAATGAATTTAGCTTAAAAGTATAAAAATTATAATTTCTCTATTAACTAATTTTCAGAATACAGCAATACTAACATCCGCGTGGAGGTGGAATCGCATGAAGATGTGACCGATAAATCCAACATTGGTGCTGACGAAACTCTAATTTTTCAAAAGAATGCCGTCGACATTTTTGGGATTCGAATCGCACCAGCTGAAGGAAATATTCCAATTCCACTACATCGGGACTTAAATGCAGAGCTATTGTCTTTTCCAACAATTTACGCTGGTGTTCCTCGGTCATTCAAAAATGGGGTTCGGGTGACCTACACGGATATAGCCAAGTCTGAAATTCGACGTTATGATAGAAGAGCCTGCCGTCCAACCAAATTACTGTATTCATTCAAGAGGTCCTTTAATGAGAAGGTAGTTAATGCAGTCCAGATCTGCATGAGAAAGAAAATTGGGACACGACACGTTACAGCGGGAGCCTTGAAGACCCCAGGATTCGTTGAAAATCTTTGCAAGAAGGACGACGGTTACGCTGCATTTAAAGACCTCAGGTCATCTCCAGCCTATTGGAAGGAAAAAATCAAAAAGGTGTTGGGAATGATTCGCCAGCTAGGAAGGGCTACATTTTTCATCACCTTCTCTGCAGCAGAAACCAAATGGGCGGAATTGATTGTAAGCTAAAAAATAGTTGCGTCATTTTGTGTAAATGTTTTGTAAAATCCACGTGGAGTAATAATGACGATTTACCTGTAGGTCATGTTAACTAAGCTAATTGATGGTAAAGAAATCACAGAAGACGAAGCAGCTGATTTACCATTCAGTAAAGTTGCAGAGCTGGTCCGATCTGATCCTGTCACCTGTATGATTCATTTTGGCCATAAATACCGTGCTCCCCTCAACACTCTTCTTACACCACGTGGAGGAATCTTTGCGCCGTATTCTATGAAAGACTATTTTAGCCGTTTGGAGTTTCAAATGAGAGGATCACCACATTCTCATGGTCTTTACTGGGTGACGGATGCCCCCGTGTACACAGAAAATGATCCAGAGTCTGAACAAGAATGCATTCGCTTCATTGATCAATTTATAACCTGTGAACGATGTGAAGAGGGAAAGATGGACAAGTTAATTGGTTATCAACTTCACAAGCATTCCCATACATGTGAGAAGAAGTTGAAAAGAGGACAGAAATGTAGATTCGGATTTCCAAAACCACCACTACCAACAACAATGATTCTCCATCCTTTCCCTTCTGATTGGAATCCCCAAGAAATAAAAAATGCAGAAGAGCTTTACGCAAAGATTCAGGAAAAGTTGAACCAACTGGGACGAGTCTACAAGGAAGATATCGACTTCAATAAATTCCTCGTGGAGTTAAATACGGATTATTCTAGCTACAAAATGGCGATCAGAAGTTCTATAAAACGTCCCACCGTATTTTTGAAACGCTCAACCAATTCTTCCTTTATCAACCCTTATAACCGAAAATTGTTGGAGGCATGGGAGGCAAATCTCGACATTCAATTCATTTTAGATATTTACTCTTGTGCAAAATATTGTGTGGGATACATTTTGAAGTCTGATGGCGGCGTCTCAAAATTATTGCAAGCGCTGGACCAGGATGTTCGACGGGGAAATATTGCCATCAAAGATAAACTGAAGAAATTCGCCAGCATCTTAATCAACGGCTCTGAAATTTCTGCTCAAGAGGCCGCCGCATTTCTGCTAGGAATAAGCAACACGAATTGCAGCAGAAGTGATGTTTTCATTAATACCGCGGAGCCTGAAGAGAGGATTACTTTTTTAAAGTCGAAAGAAGAACTCGACGAATTGGGCGATGATAGCGAGGACATTTGTATGAAGGGTCTAAATGACCACTATTCCCAGAGACCAAAAGAACTTGAGAATATCTGCCTTGCAGAGTTCGCTTCCATGTACAACTTTACTGCCTCTCAGAAGAAAAAAGAGAAGGAAAGTCAGGCAGCGGGAGATTTTAATCTTGAAAGTAATCCACGTGGAGTAAACATATTTTTTTTATTTAAGTAAATATTTGTGTCATATAATCATAATATACTTCAGGTGAGATCGATGATGACGTTGAAGATAATCCCAACCCAATCACCGACGACATGATTCGGCACGATAGTAAGTTTACAGTGTCCTCGTTGAATAACTTAATTTTTGTGCCAAATTGATGTTTAATTTCACTTTTAGGCGACACATTTCTCGGAAGTCAAGCAAATACCTCTTTACCTAGTACATCTTTTATTAGCAGCCAAGGTGAGCGTCCTGATTTAGAATACAAAAAAACGACAGGAAAATGTGAATAACATTGAATGTTTTTTTTTGTTTGTTGCAGTTTCAACGCCAAACAAGGGAGGCAAAGCAGCAGAGAAGCATGAATTACTAGATGGCAGCGGCACTGTTCATAAAAGGACAATTAGAAAAATTATAAGATTCCGGCACTACGGAAAGCAAGCAGATCCAACTAACTACTTCCGAGAGCAGTTAATGTTGTTCGTCCCGTGGCGTGATGAGAAAAAGGACTTGATCGACATTGATAAACTTTCAACAGCCTTGACCCACCAAGATCGGTTGAAACTAAACTCCCAACCTTTCTATTTTAACCATGATGTCGATGACGAATTGCTGCAAGGACTTCTGGAGGACGCAGATGAAAGACAACTAGAAGAAGAGGATGATCAGCCAATGGTGGAGAACGATGAAGGAGTTGAAGCGGAGGACTACTTCAATGACTTCAACGTGGACGACTTTGCTCCAACAACGTCAAAAGTGGAGCGCTTCTTGCCCCCTCGCCTTGTGGATGAGAATGAATACCTCAAAATCATTAGATCTTTAAATGAACGCCAACGTCGCTTTGTTCTTAATGTACTACACAACTTAAAGACTGGCAAAGTTCCATTTCACGACTTTCTTAGCGGTGGGGCAGGTGTGGGGAAAAGTCACGTGGTCACGGCTATTGTGCAGAGTTTTATGAGATACTGTTCCAAGTAGTTTTTCCTTAAATTAAACCTTCCATCACTTTTACTTCCACGTGGACTAAATATTTTTAATATTCAACTATTAGATTTCCCAATGTAAATCCAGATCAACTCTGCGTCCTGGTAGCAGCACCAACTGGAAAGGCTGCCTTTAATGTGTTCGGAATGACTCTCCACTGCACTTTTCGACTTCCACCTACACAATCTGCTGGAGGATTGGGTGACCTTCAATCTGGAATTCTAAACACGCTTCGCATCAGACTTGAAGGTGTAAAATTGTTCATCATCGATGAGATTTCCATGGTCAGCGTTAAGCAGCTATATGATATTGACCAAAGGCTGCGTCAAATATACGAAACAGCAGAACCATTTGGTGGAAAGTCATTTGTGGTCGTTGGTCATCTCCGTCAGCTACCACCCATTGGCGGATCGTATGTCTTCAAACCACCAACTCACATCCCCCGCGGAGCTGTTGTTGGGAACCACCTCTGGGAGCTTTTTCAACTCTATGAATTGACGGAAATCATGCGCCAGCGTGGCGAATGGGAGTTCTGTAAAGCCCTTAATAATATGGCTGAAGGGATAATGGATGAAGATGATATCGCACTTATTAAATCTCGTGAAGTCACCCCACAAAATCAGCCACCAGATACTGGAATCCGTCTTTACAAGACCAACGCTGAATGTCAAAAGTACAATTCTGAAGTCCATTCTAAATTGGCATCAGATGGCGCAATGTCAACTGCACACGATAAAATTCAGGGTGAGTGTTATAAAAAATAATGCAATAATGGATAAAATTGAATCTAATCAAGTTGAACCTTCTAGGATCAGCCTCTGAAGCAGACAAGAAAAGACTCTTGGAATACGCCACCACACTGACCGCTCAACAATCTGACGGCCTCCCTTATCAGACGTACTTAAAAGTCGGCGCAGAGTATTTCGTTGGCACCAATGTAGATGTACAAGACGGATTATTCAATGGGTCCACTGGTACTTTGAAACTTATCGAGTATTCAACTAAAGCACAAGGAAAACCGACCAGGGCATGGCTGGACTTCCATAATTCTATGGTTGGAATGCATAAGCGTGCCTCCACAAGGCCATATCAAGTCCGGAAAAATATCGACGAGGAGTTGGTAGCAGTAGATCGCATCACTCGCAACCTCAGCAAGACTGGGCGACATCAAGGACTTCAAATAATTCGAACCCAAATCCCTCTCGTCCCTGCCAATGGAACCACAATTGCAAAAAGCCAAGGCTCGACACACATTTGCTCGGTGGTAGCTGTAAAATGTTATTCTGACGATGATGAGCCTCCAAGGAAAAGGTCTAGAAAAAACTGGTTGTCCCGTGAGGAGCTATACGTTGCTTGTAGTCGCCCCACCTCTCGCGAAGGACTATTCATTTATGGAGAATTTACGCCTCCCTTAACTCCCGGACCGAATGACCCAGTTTCTATTGAAATGGCAAGATTAAGATCAACGGAATTCACATTTTCCATGAAATTCCTTCAAAATCCGAACAAAATTGGATTTTTGGCGAATTTTTTAGTGCAGCTAGTTTGGCATCCGGCACGCCTTCAAAGGGGTGTGACGGGCGTAAATTGGGCCATGGCATCAAACCGCTTCACACTTTTTGCTTTCAGAGGGGGTACTACCATATATCCAAAGGACATCAAGATCTGTCATTATCAGGTTGGCGTACTCTCCTCCTAAGTTTTGCACAGAATGCCATCACTAATTGCATATTTGGAATTTACTTTCATTACTTCCAGTTGAGACGACTGTGTCTTGAGCAGGGTGTGCCTGCGCATCGACAGATGAGCTTTCACCAAGCATAATCAGTATCAAGTTTAAGTTAAACATTTAAAAAACTTCATAGTCATTTATTTTCAAAACATAAATAATTTTTACATACCCAATCGAAACGAGGTGCTAGGAATTGACGTGACGGCAAACGAAGAATTAATCCTCTTTCCTCTCACAGGCGGCTGATCGTTGTCGGATGAATCAGGGCTGGATTCTCATCTCCTTGATATTGTTCGTTTGGCTGACGAGTTTATTTCCAAGTACGAAGTATTTTCAGCTAGCGCCGCTGCTTGTTGAGCGCCATCAAATGTCTCTAAAATATAATTTTAATTAATTAATTAAAAGGATTATTATTTAAAATTCATTTCTGAATTAGAAAAAATCAAACTTACCAAAAGATCCTAAAATTCTGCACTTGCACTTTCCCCAGCTTGGATCAGGTTGTACTTGTGCTCGTCGTAATTTTGTCAAATTTGACGACTGACAGCGTCTGGGCCAGTCACATTGAGAAGCCGAGATAAGCCAGTTCTGCGGAATGACGTCCACCGTTTTGGGTTTATCGTCAGGAAACTCCACTACCAGAGAATTCATTGTGGACAAGACGAAATGTCACAGTTCACTAAATGAACGAGATTAATTATGAAAGAGCCCAGAAGGCGGTAAAATCTTCCGCCACAGTGTGTTGATACAATGTGCAATGCACATCGTATCAACTTTCTACACACGTTATATGTATGTGACCCAAATGGAGGCCAAGTATGTTGCACTAACGTTGAATGAAAATGATAAATTCTCTTTAATGTTAGTTTAACGTGATTTTAACTAAGCAGCTCACATGTGATTATGGTTTACCAAATTCACATGGGTGAAAATGTTCTACGAATTTTCTAAATTAATTTCTGTGTACTTCCATACATATTTTGAATAATTTTAATGCCCAAATGTGCTACACACCTGCTTCTGCATAAAATTGCGGTCAAAGTTAATTAATATTTGCGTAATTAATGAGTTAAGTACGTGACATGATATATTTATTATACAGATATTGATATCATTTCAGTAATAAATCATGTGTACATCTGCATGTAACATGCAGCATGTGCCATGACTGTTCCTTATGTAGTTCATGATCACTCCTGTCATTCGCGAGGACTGTTTTTGTTGTATCTGTAATGAAATAATGGAAGGGTCAATTGTGCAAAAATGTTATTTAGTGGCATTAATCATTGCCATATTTTTAACATGTTCAAATTTGAACTTTTTTGTTCACGCTATTCCTTATATTTCCGAAGATCCGAATGATGTCCATTTTTATTTGTACTTGTCATCCTTTCCGTAAGTGAGCATGAAGCCTTCATGATGAAGGTAGATTTCCAAGCGCTGAGTGATTTAATAATTTTTGCTAAATTCCTATCGACCAGTGATCCCAATTTCAAGCAAGAGCTTGTTCTTCATAATATTGATTCTGTAAGACAAAGCGCTTTCCAAGCTGGACAAAAGACAGTCTTTATTATACACGGATTCCGTTCCAGTTATCTTAGTGAGATGTCACAAATTGTGAAAAACGGTATGAAATTATGAAAATTATATGAGCTAATAAGCAAGTAAAAAATATTCTGAAATTGGTTTCAGCACATTTCACATTTCGTAAAATTTTATAACCAGAGTGTAGCAAAACAATATTAGATTGGTAATGGTGTTTTTCCTATTTTATGTGTTCTCTAATAGTAATTATTAGCTCACCCTGCGTAGCACGGGAGCTATTGAATTCCTCTTGTCCGTCCGTCCGTCCGTCCGTCTGTTAACGACCTTTTTGCATCAATTGATGCTAATTAAAATGTACCAGGTCCATTTTATTATAAATTAATAGCACCATTGGTGTCTAACAATTGGTAACACAAAATGATGCGAAATAATTGGGGGAAGCGATGTAAAACGCACCAATAGTGCAGAATATCCGGAAAAGATAATCCTACAATTTTGACATAAAGTTTTCAAAGTTAAATATGGCACTTGGTCTCTCATGCTGCGCAGGTGGTGTATACTAATTCGGGCTTGTCATAATTTTTCCGTTTATTTTGCACTCTTGGTGCAAGAATATATGATAATTATGATCTCTTTTGTCGGCTTATTCCGCACCTTTGGTGCAAAGTTATGTCCAAATCATTATGAACCTTATTTTGCGCCTTATTCTACACTATTGATGCATAAAATCTCAAAATTCTACACCTACATATTTCGATTATAATGCACCATTGGAACCAAATTATAGAGTTTTATACTTCTTTTGTGCACTTATTAGGCACCATTGGTGCAAAATTATATACATCCCAAGGTCCTGAATTTTACTTAGTTATATAATTGACGCCTTTTCTATGGCACCGCGCCATGAAAACGGTGTAAATTAATCGTGGTCACTGCCGGCGATGACAATCATCATCATTATTTTATAAATTTACATTAAAATGGCCTTAACTTCGTGTAGCAACGAATTTTTTTCCAAAAATAATTCCAAACTCGTCCCAAGCTCTCGGTCACAAAATTTACCATCAAATGAGCTAACCTTATGTAGACACGTAACTAAGTAAAATTCAGGACCTTGATACATCCTTATTTATATTGCAGGGTGAGCTACTTCTAACGTTACTACGGTTTATTTAGATATTTAATAAATAGTCACCTAAGTAGCAATGCAAGGGGGAGAACGATGCAAGTCATGTCGATCGTGGGGGCAGGTATTAATGTTAGTGGCAGTGCTGCACATCTACCCGGGGGTGATTCAGATTTTTGAACCACGACGTCTGGAACATTCAAATTCCCTGCTTTTTCAACACCTATAGAATTGATATTCATATTTAAGTACGAATCCAGCATGGAAAAATTTGAATGGCAAAGCACCTGAAGATCCGGATAATTTGAAAATAATGAAGAAAACAAAGGCGTACATGACCACGTAAAGCATGACGAATATCGAGCGAGGGATTTTTTTAAGGTACAACTCAATGCGACGACGCTCTTCGTCGGAAAGAGGGCCAATTATTTCTCCTGTTAGCTTTATTGACATCGGATCCATCTTAGTTTCTGTAAATAATATTCGAATTTAATATCGAATTCGGCATGAAAATTTCAGTAGTTTCATTTGTGACTTGGACTTTTGTAATGATAAAAGTTGGAAATACAAGTCACACATGAAAATGTTCTCTATCTACAAGTGTCTAAAAGCTGAAAAATAGTACCTATGCCGACAATAAATTTGGTTATAAGGCCCGTTTTAACAAGTCTGACAAATAAATACAAAATTGTCGAACATTTCCAAAACGAATTTAGAGCTTGACAACCATATGTATGTAAATATGCAAGAACCCATATGTTTAGACAATATTATTTGACACTTTATCATTCTATACATGTTACGACAAATGAATTGTTTCCAACACAAATTTTCATTTTTGAAGAAATTAAATTTTAATTATTATGTACTGAAAAAATAGTGCGAGTGGACCGTTGCTAAGTTGGAAGATTGAGATGACCCCCTAGGTCAAATCCGGGTCAAGTGATCCCACACCCTCCAGTGGGGTGTCAATCGATCGGTCTAGATCATACGATCACTTTGGTATATTATAGAATTTTGTGAGATAAGAATTGGCTGAAAAACTTATATTTTGGAGATATTCTTCAAAGTAAACGTTTTAGCTATCCAAATAGTACACTTGAGATTTTTAGCTTAAAAAATCAAGCTAAAAATTAGGATGATTTCCTCCTCAGGAATTAAGTCTTTGTGTCTGCCTGTTCAAAAGTTATTCAAGGTTAAAGTCGTTGGGCCCGACAAGGGGACTTTGGGCCCAAAGATTTAAAAATGAAAATTTTTTTCAAAATAATTCATTTGTCGCAACCGTATGGGGCACCGCCCATAGAAACGATGTCAGTTAATCGTGCCTAAGTAGGTATAGTTCAATTAACCTTATAAAAACTAATTAATTTTGACCTGGATACCATTTAAAAACGGAATTAAAAATGGTTTCTATTGCATTTGGGGGCGGATTTACTGGGGGGGCAGAATACCATTGAGACCGACTTGTGGGGCGGTGATAAAATCAGTTGGGGACTGAATTAATGCAAACCGATTTTGAATATTCTACTGATGCAGTTATGATTTATTAGAGACCTGGAACTGATTCGACAACAAAAATTAGAACATAATACATTTTTAACATGAAATTGCAACTGAACCAAATGAACACACGATATTAATTTTGATAAAAAGATCGGATTTGATTTTGATAGTACTACAAAAATAAACTAAACGAATAAATCGTCATCATTCATGTCATCAATTTGATGACACTGATTTTGGGATGCATTTTATATTTTAAACAAGTTATTAGCTATAATTTTGTCCTTCAGTGTTCTGTGACTTGTTCCGATCGGTGGTGACACTATTGCGAATATATTAGCTAAAGAGAACGTTGTGATAATTTAAAAAAAATATGAACTGTATCATATTTACAACATGATACAGGTCAGAGGTCAACGCCGACCAATTTATTAGCGGCGCCAATGTTGGATAATTTTTCGGGGGCGCGGCGTGACCTCTGATGCACTTCCTCCGAGTTCCTCCCCCCACTACAACTACAACTCTAAACTCTAAAAAAATTAGTTCAGGCTTGAAGAAAAACCAACGACAAATAAGGAGGAAAGAATGGAACTGAGAAAATTTTCTCGGTCATTTTATTTTTATTTTTTCCTACACCTTATTGATGTAGCCCGGTCTCAACGGAATTCTGTAACCATACACCTTATTGGTGGAATCCGTCGCCAACGAGAAAAAGTTGGCCTACACCTTATTGGTGTAGTCCGTCGCTAAGGCGAAAAATTTGGCCTACACCTTATTGGTGTAGTCCGTCGCCAAGAGATCAAAATCGCCCTCCACCTTATTGGTGGAATCCGTTTTTAAAAGGTTAATAAAAATGTACATCGGTAGGATTAGTGAAAATATCTATTTTGCTCATTTTTAATATGCTCGTGAAGACGAATTTCAGTAATATCCAATTCCTGTGACTCCATCTACATATTTCTATAGCTTATCTGTCATCCCACTTCCACTACAATTATATCGTCGTTGACTGGGAAAAATTGGGGAATCCACAACCCCCCGAATTAACATCATCACTTTACTTTCTCGCCGTAAAGAATGTTCCCATCGTTGCTCAACGTGTCGCCGAATTCGTATCTTGGCTAAAAGATAGTGGTTTCCTCGTGTTGGACCAAATTCACATGGTTGGCCATTCCCTTGGGGCTCATGTCTCCGGTCTTGCGGGACGAAACCTTCAAGCTTGGCACAACTCGGAGAAAATCTTTAGAATTACAGGTGCAAACCTTTATTAAAAGGATCTCAATAGGAAAAAATATTGAAAAAAACGTAAATTTTACAGGCCTGGATCCTGCCGGTCCTCTATTTTGGCCACCCGTCCCAGAGAGAAATTTAGTTAAAGAGGACGCCTCCTTTGTTGACGTTATCCATACAAACATGCATCAAAGAGGGGACGACACATACCTCGGAGGAGATGGACATGCAGATTTTTATCGTAACAAATTATAATTTCAAAATTTAGAACAACCGATGATAAGTAAAACGCCAAGTTTTTCCATAGCGAATGGTGGCGTTACTCAGCCGGGTTGTGCCCTCAATGATACCGGACTTCCAAACTTTGATTTCAATGAATATGGCAATACAAGCTTTAAATGTCTTCAATATTGTCCACATTTTTAATCAGCCCCCTGTTATTTATTTGTAGGTGTGTGCAGCCACCGTTTCTCGTATAAACTTTACGTGGCATCCTTCACCAAGAATTTTATCGCCTGTAACTGTTCTCCTTTTGTGGACTTGATTATATTCCACTTTTGCATCTCTACCTGCCCTCAACCGGTACTTATGGGGGTGTACTGTCCCACTTCGTAAGCGCAGTTTATTGCTCAAGTCTCAATTTATTTTACTGTTACTTACATATTTATTTAAGGGCTTCTGGCCAGTATTACCTGGAAACGACGAACCCACCATGACCAGCCAAGACATATGCGCATAAATATAATTTTGACCCTGAATGAAACCATTTTTCTCTTTGCATTCATATCGCCCCGTATCAAAACCTTGCTCGAATTAAAGTTATGCAGTCCCTGAATCGACACTTTTCATCAATTCTTACGTATTATTCATTATTACATATTACTTCAGGTGTGTTGGTAAAAAAACGTCCTAAAATTGGACTAGGTAAATAGGATCATGAGTGCCATGCAAATAATAAGACGACCTCGGTGGTTTCTTTGATTCAATAATTGTGGATATAATAGATACATAAGTGAACTGTGAATTGAAACAATTAAATTATGTGCAGTTTATTAACCACTCATAAATACATGCATACGCCTCAGTCAACAAACTCAAGTGACATCGACCGAATAATGCAATTAATTAATCAGGTGCACGTAACGCAACCTTGTCCATGAAATTGTGCTTAAAAGGAACTCGCAGACTAGATACGTAAGAATTGAAAGCCGAATAATTACGCATGAACAAGTCATCGTCTGTCAAACTAATTTGTCAGTCTTGGTTCGCAATTCATTTCCAAACATATACAACTATGAAATCATATCACAAATTCAAAATGATGACCATAAGTCAGACATCAATTTTACTAGTTTTACTCCCTTTTCTCAAATTCCAAACAACAACCGAGGCATTTTTTATAACACCCTACTCCACGAATCCGGCCGATATTGAGTTTCTGCTGTACACTAAAAACACTGAGTAAGTAAATTATGCATGATATGTTAATTATATGCTTGGATCTCTGAAAAATGACTAATTAAAAATTTAATGAATCGCATTTCTAGTGGAACCCAAAAAATAGAAGAACTCATCTTAGGGAATATTCTCTCCCTTACAGAATCCTCGTACCGTTCTGATCTCCCCGTGGTGGTCATGATTCACGGATTTTATGGCCACAGGAATAAACATTTTCCTAAATTAGTAAAGGATGGTTAGTTGAACAAGCTAACAATTCAAATATACTCATAACCAAAATCTTCGCATTTTTTCCTTAGCATATTTGGACACGACACCATGCGCAAAAAATTATATCGTCGTCGACTGGAGTCGGCTAAGTCGTCCTGGACATACCGATCTTATCGAGCCGCTCGTCTACCCCGTTGTGTATCCGGCCATCGTTGTCCGAAATGTGCCCACTGTGTCCAAAGGAATTTCTGAATTTCTACAATTCTTAGTCGATTCTGGGCAAACGGAATGGAGTCAAGTGCACATCGTTGGGCACAGTTTAGGGGCGCATATTTCTGGTTATGTGGGGGATATTGTGCAAGATAACAACGATGGGGAGAAGGTTGGACGGATAACTGGACTGGATCCGGCAGGACCATTTTTTGATCCAACAAACAGATATCCCGTAATGCAGAGAAATTTAAGAAAGACAGACGCCGCTTGGGTGGATGTGTACCATACTTCGATGGGAATGAAGGGGGATTCCATGGTGGATGGGCATGTAGATTTTTATCGTGAGTCAGCAATACAGTTTGAAAATTCTTTAAAAAATTTAAGTCCAGTTTCAGTCCAAATTGAGAAAGCTGTCTGAGATTTTCAAAAATTATAAATTCCTAAAAAATACAAGCTTACATTAGATACTTTTTTTCTTCCAGCGAATGGTGGGCGTGCCCAACCAGGTTGTCCTCAGGATGAACCTTTAGCACCTGTGAATCCATTCGACCCATTCAGCAAGGGGTCCTGTTCACACGAATTTGTGGTCGACATTTATGCCGCTACGATACGAAAGAATATCGAATCGTGCAAGTGCGATCCAAATAAACTGAGCGGAAATGAGCTGGAGAAATGTGCTCAGCAATGTCCGGAACCTATCCTGGCTGGGGACAAATGTCATAAAACGTAAGAAGACTAACAGGTTTTATCTAGATATAAAGTGACATTAGTTCTGTCCGGGTAATTAAGTATTTTATGCATTTTTAGAGCACAGGGACTTTATTACTTTGTCACGGAGAAGAATCCATAGTCCGAGGCATAAGTAACTTATGCCTCGTGGATCTTACCAAAAGGACTAATTTATCCCATGATCAAACTTAGCATGCAATACGCTTTGGTTTAAAATATTGTTGTTAATTCATTATTTGTACATAACCGACTTGTGACATATTAGATAAATAAAAGTAACGAATGATTTATGTTAGTGCGGACAGTCCAAAAGTCGAGGAATCGTGATATTTATGATAAGCGTTGCTAATCACGATTGCTTGACTTTAAGTAACTAGGTAACGCGTCTCCCTTAAGGGTAACTAGGCACTAAAACAGGGTGAATTAAAGCATTTGCTCTAGGGGTGGGGCCGTCACTAGGTAAACAAAAGAATTTTTAATTATTTTTACTTTCGGTGAAAATTCTGTTCAGCCCGACCCAGGGATTATGTACACGTGTTGTCCGTCCGTCTCAACTCTCGTAAAATTGATCCAATCGACTTGGAATTTTGCATCCGTTGAAAATGTTATATTACTAGTGTTATACTTATTTTATCACTACTTATTTTATCTTAATAATTACAGAAAATGAGAGAAATTACTGGTGGTGGTGATGGGAATGAAAAACCTACAGTTGACAGTGTGGAGTGAACTACAATTCGCAATTGCGAACTGTAGTTTGACAGTTTTGATGTTTAAACGTCAAAAATGTTTCCCATGATCCAGCATGCAAAATTTCAGCTTATTGGACCAATTTAAAAAAACAGTATGGGTCAGCCTACCGGGTCCTCCTGGCAAAAAGAATGCTAAAATTTGTTAAGCTGCTCTACCCCTGCAGGATCTTTTAGTCTTCTACGATTGTTTTCCAAACCGTGGGGGTGATCCTACTGGGTCCTTCAAATAGTGATTCGTTCGTTATGACATTGCACTTTCACTTTAGTACACGTACACAAATATGACCAGTGTCCCGAATACCAACTTTCGCGATAGAAACTTTTATTTAGAAAGCGGCGTAGGTCACCCTCTGGGGTTACTTTTGTTTCACTTTGCTCGATTTTAACTGCATATACTACCATAAGAAGCATCATACATCGTACATAATTTCATCTTTTTAAGACAATTTATAAAATCGGTATGGACCACCCCTAAGGGTCCCTCTACATACAAATTTTACCAATTTCACTTCATATTCTTCCATCGAGGGCTATTAGCACCTTTTTTTATCAAATTTCAGCTTGATTTGAGGAATTTCAAAAATCCGAATGGGTCACCCCCTCGGGTCCCTCCAGAAGAAAATCTTACAAATTTCACTTCATGTTCTTCAAGTAGACAGTACTCATTGAACATACATTCATATAAAAGATGCAGTGTATTAAGAATGCATAAGCCACATGGAACAGCCAGGACCAATAATAGAGGACGGCGTGGTTTTCGACCCCTCCCACCCAGCGCCAGCCAATCCAAAAATTTTTGTAGTTAAATATTGTTAATTATGTAATTTTTTAATTTTCGGAGTCCGACTTACTCAAAAAGGCAGTAAATTGTACAGGTTGGACGCCAAAATCGAAACAAATGTACATTTGTGATTCTTTAAGAAGTTTAAAATACTGAGAGGTTATGGTGAAAAAGTCCAAAAACCTCGCCGTCGTCTGTTATTGGCTGCCAACGTGGCTTATGCAGCCTTATGGAGTTGCGTCTTCTAGGTCTCCTCACAGAACAATATTATTCTATCCTTTAGGAGGCTTATTCACTTTTCTCTGGACAGTACTAGACACCATTAGCCACCTGAATGCCAAATTTTAGTTTTCTAGAACGATTTTGAAATTTTGGTGCATAATACCCCATCCACCTATATGACCCCCACCGGTCAACCACTTGACCGATTTCACTCATCTTCGAACTTAATTCCTCACTTGACCTATACTACACGTGTACTAAATTTCAAGTCGCTAGGATGAGTTTAACGAGAGTTATCGTAAGACGGACATGACGGTTCCATAAGCTCGGGCTAAAAATGAAGATGAAAGTTCATCCATCTATTCAAAATTTACTGCGCATTTTATTGAAACAAATAATATTCCTCTAATATTTAATAGTCTCAATAATATTGATGCATTATCAATGAAACACGGTCATAACTCAAATTCTAGGTCGGGCTCCGCGAAGCGAGGTAGCCCGGCTACCTTACCTTTTCAAATAATTAAAAATTTTAATTGTTATGAGTGACGGCCGAACCCAGAAACACCGGCGTAGCCGTTAGTGATTGAAGAATCCTGGCACTAAAAGTCAAGCAATCGTGGTTGCTAATGGTGAAAGTCAATTTGTCAGAAAAAAATTAGACAGCATGAAAAAACAAAAAAATTTGTATATGTTATTGATTCGGCATAATTTTAATTTTATACCAAATTATTAATTCATGATGTCTACTTTGCCGATGTCCGAAGACGACGATAGTCCCATTTTAATAACTACGAAAAAGTCTTCGTCAAAAAAGGTCGCCATTGATCAAAACGACAATAACGACAACGACGTAGTCAACCTCAATACTGAGTCTTCCGTTAGATTCGTTCCTATCGCTGAGCATCCCTCCCAAAATCCGGTGCAATGCTGCAACATCAAGTTGAACAAAGCGATTCAATACTTAAGCATCATACTTATCGTAAGTCAATTGTCGCCACAAGTCCTGAAAATCTTTTGAAAAATGTAAAATTTAATAAATACGTGTAAATGTTTAGGTCATGCGTTTTGCGATTCTTTCCGTCTACTTGTTCATCGCCCTCAACCCGATTGTTTTTATCGCCAAGTATGAAAAATACAGTGGGAATCCAATCCACAAATGCGCCCATGGTAAGTTACCTAATTACCGACTTCCGGTCCTACTAGTTTAGTAATTTTGTTAAATCTCTACCTAAACATTGTCATCTTTACTGCAGGAATCCAAATAACGTGCACGCTTCTCTCCTTGAGAGAAATCTTGTTCGTTTTGTCCACGTTTTTCCTCCTCTTTCTTGGAGCGTCTTATGTAAGAAATCAAAACATTCAAATTTCTTTTAACTTTTTCATAAAATTTTCGTAAAATCTAAAATTTCAGAGAAAATACGACCCCTTGAAGTGTTGGGTGATCTTCACTTTGCTTCACTGTTTTCTAACAGGGCTCGCCCACATTGCCACCGGTTTCGCGATAGGCACCCCAATCCTCGCCTTCCACACCCCCCTCAGTCTCCCCCTCGTCGCTTTCATCATGTATCTCACCCTCGCCTTGATGCGGGACATCAAGCAGAAGATCGTCCTTCGAAGAGAATTTGGTCCTCAACTTAAAATGAACAAGGACAGCATCGGAACTACGAAGGCGAAGCACTTGTATGGAAACAAAGAGGGGGTTTTACCTCCCGTGACAAAATCATACAATCACAACATCTTTATCGGCTCAGGAAAGGATGCGGAACTAAGTTTTTGCTAATAAGATGGAAATCATGATCAAATTTTTTTGTGAAATCAAAATTTTTTGTGAAATCAAAATTTAATACGTCAATAAATACTACATCACTGGCGAATCGGGAACTTTGTAGAGAATTCGCTCATCTTTTGGATAACTTATTTTTGCATTTTGTCTCAAAATGTACATTATGTAGGCTTGAAGAGTAAAGATTGTGAGGGTCGTGATGATAAAAATGATCCACAACGCGGTCAAGGAAGAACATTCTGCCGCTTGTAAAATTTGAGAAATGTTATCGTCTTCATTATTGTCTGTACCAACGCCATTGTAATTTCGTCGATTTGATGAATCTTTGTTACTGTTTGAAACCAGATAGTTCTTCTCGATTTTGTCCTCATCCAAAAAATCGGCCAAGTTAACTTTGGCATCCTGACTGAGATTTTCGTAGTAAAATGACCCCACACTGTTCTTGGTTTCTTTGGCGTGAGCAAAGTGGAGCGGCATTATGGGAATTACCTCCACTTTTTCGAAAATTAATGGACTCCCATCCCCATAAAAATATGAGCTACTACTGCTTGAAGACGACGTCTCATTCGAGGTACATACTCCTTCGCCGTAAAATTTTAGGATTTTCAACCTCTCGGTGCTTTTGAGGGAGAAGAAGCAATTACAGGACAGGTTGATGAGGTGAGCACCGATTCGAGGGGAGGTGACTTCGTATTCGAAACCATTTTGTTGTGTGTTCGTTGATATAGCTGATGATGGGTTGCAGTGGATTAAAATTGTAAAAGGACTTCCGGTTATGACGTACTGGTTAGAGTGGATTCTGCAATTTGAAACGTAATTTACCAGCTATTTTTTATGAACAAATTAAAAAAAAACTTTTTATAAGTTTGTCAAAAATTTAAAATTTAAAGGGTTACGCATACCTCGTAATAATTGGCGTTTCTGACAAGTCTTGCCTTCGACAGGTAAACTGGCAGTGGTTTTTGATGATGGAGTGGTTTCTGGCCATAAGGGCAGAGGCGCACCGGTCAGCTCCCCCACTCCGGAGGGTCAGCCCGTACTCGGATATTTGGCAAAGCTCGCCCCCCTTGCAGTCCGTGGGGAAGGCGAGACCGGAAAAGTCTTCGTAGAGGAAATGCGCCCCGTGATGGCTCATTCCCTGAAAAAATCCGGTGGGCGTGTGATCCGTTTGAGAATTCAATTTTATCCGACAAACGTGACCCTTGTATTCGAAAGGGAGCGTGTGAGTGTGCACGAGTTGGAGCGATTTGGAACGATTCTTCTTGGCGTAGGGGACCTGTAAATAAGGGGAAACACACGAAAAGTGTGCAGAATGTTTATTAGATTATGTATGTAAACTTTAAGAAAATATAAGTTTTCGCAATTGTGACAAGTCCTGTATGTCACATCGGTAATTTGTCATTAATAAATTAATATAGTTTCTGTAACCCTACCTGAATCCGAACCACCATCATATTCCCCGAAGTATGAGAACAATCCGTAATTGGCAGCGTGTAATATTTCGCGATGCTGTCAATCGCCAGCTCCAATCGCCCATCCCGAAACATTTTCAGGTTTGTGATGTTCTTCAACGCCTTAATAAACTTGTCCTGGGTGATGATCGACTGTGCGAATACCCAAATAAAATCTTTTAAAAAACACTATGTAGATTTTCTCACATGAACAACTTGTATTTTATTAAGTGGTTATGTGGGCGAATGCCTAGATAATCTAGTTATCCAGGATTTTAACTGTATTTATAGAAAAATTTGAGCAATATTAAACTTACCTGAGGGATAAGATGTTGGACGCAGTCGGACGTGGCGTGAATCCATCTGTTCTTTTCGGCGTAGTACATGCTGAGAATTCCAGCTTGAAGGGTTATCCTTGCATTGGAGAGGACAGCGGACCCGACAAAGTCCAATTTTCCGATAGTTGGCGAGGTGGGTGCGGTCGTGTTGGAAGTATTCGTTGCTGCAGGTGGAGCGATAATATTCTTGTAAAACGTATTGTAAAAGTTGTGTTCCATTCGGGTAAAGGGGGTTCGAATTCTGAAATAATTGTCAATATTTCTTTTATTTCAAGAAATTCTTCACTTTTTCACAACAATAACACCATTCAAATCCGCTTTCTCACCCGTAATTAAAGTCTGACATGTTTCTCTGGACCAGAACTACGTCATCGTCTGGCGCCCAACCCCACTCGATCCCACATCTCTTCAGGGCTCTCAAATACCTCTCGAATATGGGCACGTTTGTATAAATAGTGGCAAAATGAGGCTGAATTTTGGTACAGAATTGTGACGACGAGATGAGACGATCGTAATGGGTCGTGTGGTCACCACTGGAAGAAGTGTGACTTTTCTTCCCATTTATACTCCCCACGGCTGGATGGAGCTGTTCAAAATCTACGTGTAAATTGACCACGGCTTGGTTCATGTGGTACGCGACGGGACAAGAATATCTGGAATCGGAGAAGAAAAGGTCGTAATTTTATCGAGGTTACTTATTTTTCGGGCTTACTTGTAAGGATACGTCTCCGAAACGCAAGTGTACCAGTTGTTAAACGTGACCTCGGTCTTGTTCCACTGCGGTGTCTGATACTCCAAGACGAGTGGAATGTAGCCCTCGTAGAAAATTGGTGGGGGGAGATATTCCGCATGGATTCCAGGAACGATGAAACCCTGCTCGTCTGGTTCGAGGGGGAGCAGTGACTCGTCCGAGGTTACGCCCACGATAAAAAGTGGGATGAATAGTAATACGATAATTACGAAAGGAGACTTCATTTCGGGAAAAAATGTTGAGTCTGCTGACAACTGCGACTGATCGTGAGAATGAGATGCAGTTTAACAAGCAGGAAAAGAACAAGTATTTTATTCCTTAGTAAATATGACTCGATGATATAAAAGACATATCGATATCAGTGGAATAACATGACTTTGCTTAGCACGAAGCAATAAAAAATAATATCTTATGGATAAGTAGAACTTTCATGGCTGTACTCTCGTATAATGTCGTGGTTGGTGTCATATTACTATTCATTCCGTAATAAATTTGAGTAATCAATCGAGTCATCGTCAACAAATATACATAAACCATGCATTTTTTTACAAGAAATTGGTTTATGTACATATGTATGTTTGAAGAAGAGATGTGTGTATGTGTTTAATGTAGAACCTGCAAAACCTTGACATTGCCAATGTCTCTTATCAATCAAGTTATATACCAAGTCTATAATTTAACATCTACGTAGTGTATTGATTAATTTGATTTTGATTCGTATAATATGTACATATGTATATTTTAATATTTTACAAATATGTAAAATAAGTAATATGTAAATATGAGTATATTCATATGTAAAATATATGCAATGCATGCAATGAAAGCAGATCCTAATGGAACTATGCTAACCTTCATAAAATTGTGAAAATAAGTATAATCAGACAAAAATCAAACTTCTTGATATTTGAACAAACGTTTTCAATTAAGCATAATGAAACAATGAACAATTAATTCAGACAGGAAATATGATATTAACCGTTTCTAGTAAAAAGCGGTTTGATATTGCAGGTCATTCAATGCACTACAAAATCAAGGTTTTTTGACACTTCAGTTTATCAGTCTATAACAGACCCAAGTGTTACCTAGATACTTAATGTCAAGCAATCGTGGTCAAATAATCATAGAACGCAAGGTTGCTTGACAACTTTAGTAACAATTACATTGTATTATGATAAAGTGTCAAGCAATCTTGCATAGAACCACGATTAACTGACATCGTTTCTATGGGGTGGTGCCCCATACGGTTGCGACAAATGAATTATTTTTTTAGAAAATTTTCATTTTTTAAATCGTTGGGGCAAAAGTCCTTTGGTTTGCCCCAACTGTTTGACCCTGAATAACTTTTGAACTGGCAGACATAGAGACATAATTCTTAAGGATGAAAGCATCCTAATTTTTAGCTTGATTTTTTAAGCTAAAAATCCCGACTGTACTGTTTCGGAAAACTAAAACGTTTATTTCGAAGAATATCACCAAAATATAAGTTTTTTAGGCATTTTACAGCCAATTCTGATCTCACAAAATTCTATAATATACCAAAGTGATCGTATGATCTAGACCGATCGATTGACACCCCACCGGAGGGTGTGAGATCACTTGACCCTGATTTAACCTTATAAAAACTAATTAATTTTGACCTGGATACCATTTAAAAACGGAATTAAAAATGGTTTCTATTGCATTTGGGGGCGGATTTACTGGGGGGCAGAATACCATTGAGACCGACTTGTGGGGCGGTGATAAAATCAGTTGGGGACTGAATTAATGCAAACCGATTTTGAATATTCTACTGATGCAGTTATGATTTATTAGAGACCTGGAACTGATTCGACAACAAAAATTAGAACATAATACATTTTTAACATGAAATTGCAACTGAACCAAATGAACACACGATATTAATTTTGATAAAAAGATCGGATTTGATTTTGATAGTACTACAAAAATAAACTAAACGAATAAATCGTCATCATTCATGTCATCAATTTGATGACACTGATTTTGGGATGCATTTTATATTTTAAACAAGTTATTAGCTATAATTTTGTCCTTCAGTGTTCTGTGACTTGTTCCGATCGGTGGTGACACTATTGCGAATATATTAGCTAAAGAGAACGTTGTGATAATTTAAAAAAAATATGAACTGTATCATTTTTTTTTTTTTTTAAGCGGGTATTATTTACTATTAACATAAACATTGATAAACTATGAAACAGTGAGCGATCATGAACTGTATCATATTTACAACATGATACAGGTCAGAGGTCAACGCCGACCAATTTATTAGCGGCGCCAATGTTGGGTAATTTTTCGGGGGCGCGGCGTGACCTCTGATGCACTTCCTCCGAGTTCCTCACCTCACTACAACTACAACTCTAAACTCTAAAAAAATTAGTTCAGGCTTGAAGAAAAACCAACGACAAATAAGGAGGAAAGAATGGAACTGAGAAAATTTTCTCGGTCATTTTATTTTTATTTTTTCCTACACCTTATTGATGTAGCCCGGTCTCAACGGAATTCTGTAACCATACACCTTATTGGTGGAATCCGTCGCCAACGAGAAAAAGTTGGCCTACACCTTATTGGTGTAGTCCGTCGCTAAGGCGAAAAATTTGGCCTACACCTTATTGGTGTAGTCCGTCGCCAAGAGATCGAAATCGCCCTCCACCTCCCGATACACAATCAAATTCGGTCCGAATGCGTTCCACGGGTGGCTAACGAATTCGGCCCACATGTCGGATCTTGCCGCAAAAAAGCCTTCGCTCCGAATGCGTGATCGGAATTCGGTCCGAATGCGATTTTCAGCATTCTATGCGCTTTCGGAATGCAGCTTTCTATCCGCGTGCTATATTTTCCATTCGCTCCGAAGGATATTTCTCGCAAATAATAATTAAAATACACAAATTTAAGGTTGACAAATCATTTTATTTTATTGAGTGTAGCAACGGAATACATATAAACTTACATTTATAAGGCATCCTAATATATTTACAAATTATATCATTTTGTTTAATATGTAAATATTCTTGTTCGGATACGTTTGAAGCTTCAAAAACTCCTAACTTCGAGCTATCAATTGGATAATCTTTCACGGGTTTGATGTCTCCAAAAAATTGACTAAATTTAATATTACTATCATCCTTCTGAAAACGACGAATTACAACAATTTTCCCTGAACGCAGCATGTAACAGTTATCACCGTTCTTACAAATATTTTTAGGAGACAACACATTATGACAATATCTACTAAAACCTACATTAGTATCGATTTGCAGAGCTTCTGCTTCCATTAGTCGTTTAGAAACTTGCTCTAAATGATAATTATGCGAATGAATTAGACTTTTAATTTTTTGCATGAAATTTTCAAACGGAAATGTGCTAGCATTATCCAGTGCGCCAAAAAGGTCATCTTCATTAATGTGTAGAAGCCCATGCAAATTATACACAGCAAATTCCTGTCCATAAAGTGAGATGCATTTCTCCACAAACTTGTTTAACAACTTCTTAGCCACTAAATTCCAGTCAATATTATCGGCTTTTGGGGATAACAAAATTAACAAGGCAACATGGAAGCGTAAAAAGTTTTTATATTGAACTTTCGGAATTATTCCTTTAAAGACTGCTACTCCTGTGTACAGTAAAAGCGTTCTAAATTCTGTCCCTTTATAGTGATCAATGTGATTGATCCCTCTTGGCTTTCTTTGAAACTCAGAAGGAAAATAAATTAACAAATTATTCAATCTTCGACTAATTAATAATATATTCCTGCTTTGTAGACGGTGGGGTAATTTGCCTTTCACCCACATGCGAGTTAATTTTCTTGTAATCCCTAGACATACAAGATGCAAATAGTCTAAAGGAACTTGTGATACAAGACCAATTTTCAATTCAGATAAAATTGTATTTCCTGTGTGATGAGATTTATCCGTCTGCAACCTGAAACTATCATCCGTTCTGCTTGGGAAATTACCTTTGCAATATCTGACACTATGCATCCACTCACCATCTTCTAGACATTTTTCACACGCGTGATAACTGTTATGACTTTTACAAGCTTTTATGAAACTTCTAGCGGGAGCATCAGCTAAAATACGTGAAACCCTGAAAGAGTAATGCATATCCAGAGAGATGCCATCCCTTTCTAAAGTTTTATACTCATTTACAAAGTCAGTTAAAAAATCTAAATTATTTGGTTTCGACTCTCCATAAAATAAATCTATAACAAAAGGTGTCGAATTAAAGGATTGATCAACACTACCTAGTATGGGCCAAAATTGTTTATTGGTGCTTCTAGTTAGAGGAATTCCATCAATCCCTACAGAAAGGCTAATTAATGGACTATTAACCTCTGATTGCAATGTGCGTAAAATCTTGCTGGAACTATTAAAATTTTCCTTAATCCCGTACTTCATCCTGATGAGCATATTCTTTCTAATTCCAAAATAAAAATATTTACCTCCGCTAATATTACAAGTGCGAATTTTAGCTGGTGTTCGGATGAGAGTTCTCGAGTCTAACGGTAAAGTAGGAAAAGTTTTTTGCCTCTTAAATAATTTCAAGAGCTCACCAAGAGCGTAATGTTTAATGTTATGAGCTAAAGCCCACTTCCTCAATTCTAAATCAATTGAAACAATTTCTGTAAGTTCTGTCGCATCCTCGCTACAATCTGAATCTGAATTTGAATAACGATCTAACGTATCTACTTCTTGTAATTCTAAATTCTCATCACCTGCTTCATTACTAATTGTACCACTTAATCTACTATTACTATTATTTACAACAGCTGGGTGATGTACACTGACACTATTAACAATCGAACCGACTGCTGGGACCCTAACACTATTCAAAAATTCATTCACGGCCCGTCGATGTTGCCATCTTGCTGTTCGTTCGGGAATCTGCCTGTTGAACATTCTTCCTTATTTCGTTGTTTACGTCCGCCGTCTCGATCTTTAGAATTCTTCAGCCACCTCTTGGTAAAATCGTCAATTTCGCTGTTCGTTAACTCACGAGTAGAACGATTGAGCCGAACAGTTTCTGTGAAACGATGAATTACGAACCAAAGTTATTAATTGTATCGAGAATGCTAACTCCTGATTAAAATTTGATTCCATACCATAGAGCACCTGTTGTAACTTCGAGTCTTTCAATCCTCGTTTAGCACATTTGCCTGCTCCAGTAAGGCTGATTATTTTAGCCAATTTGTCCAACAGTAGCTGTTCTAATATTCGGGTTACACTTTCGTTAGGATTTTTACCACCAAGATATCGTAATTTTTCGACCTACCCAGACAAATTTAGTTGATTAACTTTATGAAACTAACAAACATTAAAATTTTTTCTCCTTACTATATTTGAAAACATACCAAAATAGTTTTAGTTTGATTACTTTTCAACCAATCGTTTAACAAATCCAAACCTTCTGGAGTAGACAACGGAATGTCCGGTCGATTTGGATCGTCTTCTAGAGGAGATTCGTCGATTGTTCCAGCCGTTCTCCTTAATATCTCTTCCTGATGACCTCTAATTTTAACCAATTCTTCTGTTACTTTTGTTTGAAAGGCTAGAACCAAATGTATAAAAAATGTGAATCAAAAATTATCGAAAAGGAAAAATTAATCGATGATCAAGAAAACGAATGATTTTACCATTATTCTCGTACTTGAAATTATTAATCAACTCGGTCAGAGAAGCAAAGAGAGGCACCACGTCAACCGTTGCAAAAATTTGAGATTCCGGCTCGTTTTGCGACAAATTTACAATTTGCCCTCCAAGTGATGCTGC